TGATCTTATCTAATCAAAATATCACTCCCTTTAACAAGCACATGAATTCACACTTTTTCATAGCAAAGCCCTAATCCCTAGTTTGTAGTTTGCCAGGGTCTAGCACATAAATAAAGGCTTCACTGAGAGATTGCGCTTGGAATTGTTTTAAGCCAGGGGCTAAACAAATTCTATTGACATCTCCTGAAGAGATGGTATTGATTTCATTTCACTGTACCTATAGAGCAAACAGCTTGTTTCTTAAGCACAGCCAACAATCAGTGCTGTCAGATTTCTCCAGTTTAATAACTGCACAATTATCTGTCCTGCCTTGTTCCAATAAATCTTCTTGTTCCCTTGTGTGCTAGTCTTCACTCCCCTGATTCTCTGTTTTCACTTTCTTTGTATTTCCTGTGCATTAGAATTTGCAAACACTCTTTGTGTTTTCCCTTTCCTCCCGGCTCAAGAGGTATGAAACAGACAGACATGCATCCATCCAGACCCTGTCTTCATCATATTTTTGTTTGGATGCTCACAGGTCTCATGCAGCTGACATTTTAAAACTTGTAATTTGTGGTGCAGCGTTTACATAACGTATTTGGTGTGAATTGTCAAATCCTTGTATGTCCACCAATTAAATAAATAGGCCTTTTATTGAACAAATAAAAACAGAATTTCCTGCATTAAGATTAGCATTTGGCAGTACAGATACAGTGGCAGTGGTTTCTGCCCTGCGATGGACTGGCATCCCTTCTCTGATGTAGTACTACCCTGTGCCCTTGTGGTGCCAGGTAAGGCATTCGGTGACACTTAACTAGGAAAAAGTGTTTTTTTTTTAAAGTGGGAGGAAGATAAACACGGGCCTGTCACTAATTCTGGGCTGAGTGTGACACTCTGGAGTTAGAGGGAAGTTTGATTTATACTCAGAGTGAAAAGAGTGTGCCAAAACACGGTTACTGAAAAACAAAATATTGAACAGCTTGTGAATAATGTGCTTACAGATAGAAGAAAAAATTGCTGCATATCAAGTCCTTCTGTTTTGCTAAACAAAACCAACATCTGACCTTAGACATTCTGAGTGATGACATTGCACTTGCTTTGCTTCTGTTTTCAGCAAATTTTCTGTTTTATGTCATTTGATACTGTTGGGGTGAGGCCATGTCCCTCTGAGAGCACAGCCCCCTCTCAGGAGAAACATTTTGGTTTCATTTTACTGTTTCACTGGAATTTTACAACGGTCAGGACAAATGAGATGACCTGTCAGAGAGGCAGAAGGAAAGGCAGAAGGAGACAGTCAGCCAAGGGTAAACACATCTCTGGCCTTTGTCGAGAGATTAGATCTAAACTAAGTAGGAAAATGCAGGATTCTATATTTTAATTCCCTGTTAACATGAGTAGAGTTTTTTTAATGTGCTTTTTCAAGTGGGTTTTCCCACTAATTATAGAGTCTGGTCCAAAATGGGATCAGAAAAACAGGCTGTATGAAATAACATATTACCATCGACAGAGCCTTTCAAGAAAAGCTGTCCTAAATGCATCTTGCAAGTGGAATGCAAGAACAGAGAGATGATCCTCTGCCCAGTTTTCTGTCTCCCTCCAGGAAGGGTCAGGACTTAGGGATTTGGGGATAAAAAGCAGGGAAAGAGGAAAAGAACTACAATGGAGCGGAAAGAATATGTAGTTAGGAATATTTACAGTGCTCTGGAATTTAATTGTCAATTTCTTTTCTTGTGTGATTGTTGTCACCCAGAATTATAATAATACTTGACCGCCTCCAGTCTAACAACAATGTTACATTCTGTAATATACATTCAGGATCCAATAGGAACTGCCTCACCATTTAACATTATTGATGAAATGCCTATCCAGTGGCATTTTTTTATATATTAATACATGACGGTTTTCACAGCCACTTTTATATCCTGTTAATTTTAAATTATTGTTCTGTATACTGTAACAGTTTCCAAGATACCAAGAATTTCTAAAAATCGCAATGCATCTCTCCCAAAAATTATGCCCTGTTTTTATTGAAACATCAATAGAATACTTAGTGTCTAAGTCTAGGACCTTTGACCTCATATCACCTCTGTTATGACTTGGCTGCAGACTGAACTAACAGTGTAATATGTTGAATGAAAAAAATGGGGTGTATATCTGGAAGAAAGGCTCCTAAAGACAGACATTTATTTAAATTCCTTTAAGATTGTAACACAAGGCAAAATAAGACAGAGATGTTAAAATGTTGTAAAAAATGGAAGAAGGTCGAGAATGTTTTGTTACAAATACAAATACCTCTTGACTGTAATAAACTGCATAAACGTACAATCCTGTTTTCAGGATTGGATTTGTTACCATACCTGCAGTGTACATCCTGTGTGTTTTTCAGTGCTTTTATTTAAGGCAATTATTTCTAGTGTATAGTACACAAGGGAATAGTGTATTTTTTTGTACAATACACTAGTAAGGCCTAATTTAAAATATGTAAAATTGTGTACACCACAGAGACCAAAAGAATCTTTTTAATCTTCTGCAAGGACAATTACAAGGGAACCAGACTGAAGTATTCAAAATCCTCAAATGCTGAGAAAGTTCTGTGGAATTCTTTAGAATCATCAGGGAAACATGAAGCAGAGAACGCAAGTGGAAACAGGGAGGTGCGCTTGAAACTGAGGAAAGGAGTCTGACAGAAAGGCAGCGGGGGTCTGGAACAAGCTACCCAGCCAAAGCTGATGGCCTGGCTTCGTTCAAGGCATGGCTAAATGAGATACTTGGATCAGTGACCACAAGTCAAATGATCCGGATGGACTGAATAGCCTCCTCAGCTTTGTAACCATTCTCATGTTCTTAGTATTTTGATCATATTGGCATGTGATGTAAAAACACCAAGGGAGAATGAAATGCAAGTACTGTATGAAGGTAAAAAAAAACATGTGTGTGACTTTTTCACGGCTCTTCTCAGCGATACTGGTTTAAACCTGGAGCCAGAGCCTTCTGTGGCAGCAGTGCTGTGTCCAGAACGGACAAGACCAGACACAAGCTGAGGAAACCAGAGGTTCACAAGGTCAATGGTTCCTGGAGGGTCAAGACAGCAAACATCACATCAACTGCAAATGAATTTACAGTCTTTTAAGGGTTCACTGAGTAAACAACAGTCAGGGAAGCAGAAAGTAGGGATGATTGCAAGGGATCTGCTGTGTTCTCTTCTGCCGCCAAGAGATATTTAAGCAACAATTGGACATGCAAATTTATCCTTGACTTCTACTACATAAAGTATGCAGGAACCATATTCCAATACCATTAAGATAATTAAAACAACATAAGGTTTATTTTGCCACTTATTAAATGGAATGAAAAAAGTCTTAATAGAGGTCTTAGATGGGGAAAAACATCAAATTTCTTTTTTTTTTTTGTAATGTGTAGCAGCAATATGTGCATTAAAATCACCCTGACTTGCAAATTACTTCTTGGCTCTGCACTAATCTGAGTCTTTTCTCTAGTTGCATAAAATTAATTTGCACATGGATGCGCAAAATACTGTACTGTATATACCAAGTACGATACCGTTCACGAGAAGCATAGCATGTGCATTTTCAATGTAAATGTAATGCATTAAGGTTAATAGCAATTGATACATACAGTATATTATGTCTCATAGATCACTCGGTGATTAGACCTTTTTTAAATGTAGCCTAGTCCCTCATTTTTAAAAGTGTTGTGCCAATTCAGTATTTCTGCCAGGGTGATCTTTATTAGTTTACAATAGTAGGTGTGTGTACAACCTTATTGTCAACTATGCATCAAAAACTATCTGTCCGATCGTACCTTATTGGTCCTGACTGAAATTCACTACTTTAAAACTACCAAAAGAAAATTAGATTGCCCCTCTCTGTTCACCACCAGTGCCATTAAAGCTCTTTTTCTGCATTAACACCATATTAATTTCTTCATGTGCCTTCACAAGAAAGAGACAGCAAAGAGCAAACAGGCACTTTGCTGTTTTCTTGCAATCAGTTTAAAACACATCTCCTTTATGGTGTGATCTGTCTCCGTATTTGGTTATTTCAGGAGGCAGAGTTACCTAAAATATTTGTGTCTGACAGTAAAATTTATTTTCACTCTTCTTGCCTTAAGAAACAACTGTGTTTTGCATCTTAAAGAGGAATTTGGAACAATGTAATGTGAGATTTGTCTCTTGGTACTCAAAGAAAATTTTACACTAATACAAACTTAATAAAATATCCATACATCTAATGTAAATGTAATCATTTTCTGTCCAATATTTTACAGTTGATAAATTAGAACCGAGCCTTTCTATACAAAACAACACAAATAGAGCAAACACAATTAAAAGTTACTTTTTCTTTACATATTATAACCGCCATAGTGAAAACACTAATAATAGTGAAATAACTAATAGTGAAAACAACCATATATTTTTTAGGAAACTGTAAAATCAAACAGAGCTACCAGTATACTAAAAATACCTTGACCGTGGCCTTACAGCTCCATTTGTCAATACATTCATGTTTATAAGAATTGTTCTGATAGCGTATTTTGTAAAATATCTCTTAATGGTAAGAACGGTACTGTAATGTTCCTGTTTAATGCGTTTTTAGAATTCTAGAAGAATTCTGCAGGATTTTTACAAGAATTGCCACAGGATAGTTTTGTTTAGGTTTGATGGTCTACCAGACTTACAATTCAATAAAGATGCCAGCTATAATTGGTTTGTGCCCTATCTGATTTCACAAGCCCAGATCTGTTTTGTTCCATGAACTCCCAGAATAAAACCTTTTTTTAAAGTCAGGGATGCAAAAAAGAAACATTGTAACATGTAAAACTTAAACACAAGCACCGTGTGAATTTCAAAGAGCAGTTACATAGCTCAATCAGGATATGATGTCTTTTAGAAACTTGGAATTAAGTTTTGTCTGAGCTGCTCTGATGCAGCATGAGGAATTGTCTCGTTTCAGTAAAAGTGTCTTTAACTCTGTGTGTCGTGTGTAGCTGTTGGGACTCACCAGTGCATAAACATCAGGGAGAATGGAGCCCAGAAAGGCAAGAAGAACACTGCAGGCCCGTGTGAACATCTCCCTTCTCTTCGTGGTCACCCTGATCCAGAGGCAGTCTGTGGTGAAGATGCTATCAGGAGAAGACTGAGCGCAGGCCGATCTCCCTGTCTCTTGGTCCAGACATTCCTCTATCACCTGTCCCACAAAGTTCTCCAAAGTTATCTTGAGCACCCCACTCACATAAAACAAAGAAAAGAAACCAAGCTGAGGAACGTGTTTTCTTCTCTGCGTATTTCACTTTTTACGTCTCTGTTTTTGGGAACGACACACGAGCCACACGAAAAACTCGCTGTCCTTTCCGGGAGGAAAGATAAGGTTTTGCCTCTTGCAGTTTCCTGGCAGAAGCTGTGCACAATTTAGGGACCATTATCAGCCCCTGGGAGTGTCCCCAAGAGGAAATGAGTTTGAGAGAGCACCCAAATGCTTAAAAGAATCTTTTCCTCTTCTTTTAATCTCTCCTTTAGAACTGTTAGCTTTGAAATCTGCAGCCAGCCCCTCTGTCCTCTCAGGGCCGGTGGAGTGCTGACTTTTCTGCACAGCCTGGCTGCTCTCGGTGTGTGTGTCTGTCATGTGGAGCGCTGGAGAGATAGTCAGATAATGCTTTTCCATTCAGCCACTAGACAACTCCTGCAGCAGGCTGCCTGCTCAATGAAGGAAGGGCTGCTTGCGTGCTCACTGCGTTAACCCTTTCCTGTCAGCAGCAGCTGTCTGTGGCTTGTGCTCTGCCACTGAGAAGACTATTGCAGATACTCTTATCCAGGGTGGCTTACACAATAATGCAACAATAGCTAAATTCTAAAAATGACAATCGTTCAAATATAGTGACAAAGAAAGTTAATCGTACAAATGACAAGAAAAGCAAATCAGTGGGCCAGGCACATCTAAAAATGGCCGTGTCTGTGACTACAATGTCCATCGAGAGGTAAACATTGTGTAGGTTAGGAATCATTGCTTACAGGACAGAAAGAGCAGCAGGGAGCAGAGAGCAGCATCAGCCGGTGGTAAAAGTTCACAGCAGTGTGACCGAGATCACAGGTGCTGTCTGAACATCTGTCTTGTACAGATGCTGAAAGCTGATCAGGGACCTAGCAGGTCTGGGTAGTTAAAGGTGACCAGGGACTCAGGGGCTGTGATTTCAATGGGTAGTTAAAGGTGATCAGGGACTCAGGGGCTGTGATTTCAATGGGTAGTTTATTCCATCACTGCAGATCCAGGGATGATAGTGAACAGACCCGGGAGGTGGGGGACTGGAGAGGAGGAACAGGCAGTGTGGTTCAGGAGGAGCAGTGGATGTAGGAGGGACTGGAGACAGACTGCGGCAGAGAGTCAAAGACAGCAGTGGGCAAGAACTAGTGTTTGGAAGGCAGAGAAAAGACCAGGAGGAGCAGAAGAATGAGCTGGAGACACTGCACAGATGGCCAGCCAGAAGGGAGCAGTTGCAATTGTTCAGGCATGAGAACTGGTTGAAGGGTAACTTAAAGAAGAGCATCTTAACATCTTCACTAACAATCCAGTTCCAGTCACTTCAGAAAGAAGACTCCTTGGAGCTGAAAATGTGAAGAAAAGCAAGCTGGAATTTCTTCAGTTTCAAATAATTCTTAAAAGTGCACTGTATGTTACAGTGACCATGTCAGGGCAGATCTTTCTAAAGGACATGACAGTACTTCATGATCACCTTACACATTCAGTTTGATAACCAGCCCCTTTCTGTCTGTTTCTCCCAGTTCAGGGTTGAAGGGGAGCAGGAGCCTATCCCAGAAATAACAGGAGCAAGGCACAACACCCTGTGGACAGGATGCCAGTTCATCACAGGGCACTCCCAGACACGCACTCACTCCTCACTCCAGAGCCAATATCCCCAGAAGCCAATTATCTACTAGTGCTGGACTCTGGAAGGAAACCCACCCAAAGGAGAACATATTAACTCCACGCAGATAAAACCCCAGGTCCAGAATTGAGCCCAGGACCCCAGCGCTGCGAGGCAGCAATGCTAACCACTGCACGTCTGTGCCGTTCGTGTTTGATAATATGTTATTATTATTAACATAGAACTTGACCTTAATGTGACAAGCAAGCATTTGGCTTGATCTTTTCTTGAAGAACAAGCATTCATTACCACTGAGTTAATATACCCAGAGTATCACTATTTGCTTTTTTTCAGATGAGAGAGGAATTACTGCTGCAGCAGACATCGATGCACAGTTTATTTTTTAGTGTCTGTAAATTGCTTTGGAGGAAAGTGTCTGCTGCAAGCCATTAATTTAGGCTGTGGAGTCCCTTAAGTAAGCTCTTCATACCTCTAGAGATGACTCCTCTATAGTCACACCCAGACTCTACCCAGGCTGCTCATTCAGCAACCCACACATGCTGTAATGACTTCAGAATGGCTTTTTACTGCCTTATGTTTTGTACATTAGTGAACTGGTAACACAGCATTATAGCACAGAAAAGATGGCACACTAATATGGCGGAAGAGATTAACTCAACTAAAAGAAAAAAAAAACAATGTGCTATATCGTGAATAGAATTCGTATCTAGAAAAGCTCGATTTAATTAAATTCACACGCACTGAGAAGGGGAAAACGGTTTTAATACCAAACATGACGATGTCTCCCTCTGGCGGTGGACTTCATATTCTTCAGACCTAAAGGAATTCTGGTGTATCAATTGCTCCCTCTGCTGGGTTTTGAGCACCAGTCTACAGAAACCCAAACGCACAGACGACTAACATTCGTGTGAGACACGCTGTACAATGTAAGGCAGTTCATGGCAGCTGACATCATTTGCGTTTGAAGAAATATATAGAAAACCGTGACAGAATTAAAAGTAATCCATAGGTAATCAATAAAATCCTGTATTACGTACTGTAATGCGGAGAAGGCAGGCAAAACAAGCCTATTACCTCCTCGCCAAAAGTCCTCAACCGCTGGCAAGGTGGAAATCTGTCGCCTTAGGTGTGTATCAGTCACGACACACTAGAACTGAGACCGTGTGATTCATTGCCGTAATTTACTTCGAAAATCTTACGGAAAATAATTGCTTTTAATATCTACAGGGGAAAAAAAGTGTTCCTGAAAACGTTGTGGGGAACGTGCAAAAAAGTGTCACCATGTTGTGCAGACAAAGAATGTCATGGCATCCACAGCGCGTTCACGACTCCGATAGCCTGTCACGATAAGAATGCGCACATCGCGATACCCCTTGCGTCTGGCGCATCACTGTCATAGCGCCACTGTCGCGACATTAAGTCCATATATCGCGATATGACAACCCCATCCCCCTTCATGTTGCGACATGAAGCCTCGTATATCGCGATATGGCATATCCCGGCAAAAGTGTCCCGCCCCATGTCGCGACATGAAAGACCCTATATAGCGATATGACACAAACTGTCACGCCCATGTCGCGACATGAAGCCTGTATATCGCGATATGACATAACCCTCCCCCACCCGGCAGAATGCCCCGCCCCCATATCGCGACAAGTAGTCCATATGTTGCGATAGGACATACCCTGACAGGATATGCTGAGCCCATGTCGTGACACAAAGTCCATATATCGTGACACGTCCTATCTTTGCAACATTGGTATGGAAGCAACAGTGTGTCACAGCACGGAAAGAAAAGGAAAACGTGTCTTAGAAAATACAAACCATAGATCTTACAATTACGGTGATTTTACATACATTCCAACCACAGGTTTATGTCATAGATGGTATTACCATGTGTCATGTCTTAGTATTATTCACATCTAAGGAGGCTCATATGTTTATGGATATTGATTGTTTATGGATATCGATTGTCTTTATAATGTTAAGGTTACGAGCTAAACAGTAACAGAGCGCTTGAACTCGGCAGACGGGGTCACTGGAGGTCAAAGTCACCGTGCATGGTCACGTCATCACCGGGAAAACAAGGTGCTATATCTTGGGCACGAAAGCAGTACAAACGCTACTTTCAACGGAACAAATCGGCACAAAAGCTGCACTAACGAACGAGGTGGGTTTCATCGTTTGTGCTGTCTGTAGGGGCCCAACTTCACGGAGCTGAGGTAATGGCTGAAAACACGGCAGATGTCGTTGAAGCTTTGAATCTGCTTTTGTTTGTTTTATATTTCATGTTATGCAGCAGAAGTCTCAGTCTGATCACAGCTATCTAAAAACATTACAGATAATCAGCGTATTGCACGCACATGATGATTCTCACTCCTCTTTGGTCTAACGTGCATTTAAACATCGGCGTACATAACAAGAAGGGAAACGACTGGCCGGTTGAATTATTCCTGGCCCTATCAGGTAATCGGAGGCGTTGCGTTTGGGGGTTTTAATTCGTTCGCATGACGAAACCTTAGAAATGCACGTTCAGAGCATAAAATCTATTTGGTTTAGTTAAAATAAAAATGACAGTGGACACATTTCACGACAGTGAATACACAAATACATACAACTTAGTATAATAACGTGCACAACTATACAAAGTAGTTGTAGTGTGTTGTGGTTAGATTTTGATCCAATAAACCTCTAACCGGCGGTTTCGTAAATCAGATCATATTCATCTTAAGTGCTTTTTTTTTCTTTCCTTTCTTCCCCTCGATCTCTATATTATCGATACATCGATTTACTATTTGATCTTGTAATCTCCTGGTCTCATGTATTTTGAATATCCTGCCACTAGTGGGCGCTCTTCAGCAGTGTTGGTCTCTGATGAAGCTCCACACAGCTGGGTTTGGGGGGAGCAGCTTCATTGAGCTTGGAGATGAGTGTACAGGAATCGTCAGAGTAAGAAAAAAAAGTCCTTTCTATTAATACACAGGTTTTTTATGACCTCTTCTTGCTTAAAGTGCTACAGCTGGAAAGGCAGGCGCTAGTATTCTATAAATTATTAACTTTTTCTTCAGGAAGACATGGTCCCCAAGTTAAAAAAGCACAATTCGGAAAATGACAGTTGTTTGTTAACCTATTATATTAACAACCAAAACCCCCATGAAGGTGGCAATGTCTTATTAGAGAAATTTTCACTCATTCTTTTTAATTTCATTCTGTTGGTATCTAGCCAGAGCAGCCTGGTGGCACAGTGATTTGTGTTGTTGCCTTGCAGCTCCAGGCATGTACAGTACATGAATGTACTGGTCACACAGCATTAGAGTGCAGAACAAGGGAAAGAAACAATATCCTATACCTTGAATGGAATTAGTATCTAGAAAAAGCTCAATTTTAAGTCACATGCTGTCTGCATGGGGTTTGTATGTTGTCCCGTGTTCATGTGGATTTCCTCCAGGTGCTCCGGTTTTCTCCCACAGTCCAAAGACATGCTGGTGGATTAATTGGCTTTTGGAAAAATTGGCCCCTGTGAGTGTCTGTGCCTGTGTTTGCCTTCTGATGCATGCAGAGTATAATCTAATGATAAAGTGAACACCGACATTCAGTCTCAGACTAACAACCTCTGGACCACAGGGCCAGACCTGCAGCCTGTTGAGCAGCTGTCTCTGGCCTGTACAATCCATCCCCTTCTGAAGAATTCAGCTGCGTCCCCAGCTCTGATGAAAGAGAAAGTCTTTGCAGCCAGTCTGGGTTTCTAACTGTATACCTCTCTATACTCTACTATGTATATCAGCTGCACTGTAGCTGGTTTAGTGCCGAGTCGTCCCTGTTGTGTTGGGTTCGCCATAGCTAGCTCATCACATGTGACTAAATACTGAGGGGCAAATCCAATCAACTGAAATATTCTCTGCAAACAAAGAGTGGTAAATAAAGGCCAAGAGCTTTATAGGATGTGTGTCTCACCCCCTTCATTGTGAATTTACACTACTTCCATCTGGGAGGCACCTCTGTTGTAAAAGTAACAGACAGGAAATGTTTCATCCCTGCAGCTAAATCTCTGTCAGACAATGTAAAGTAACTCTCTTATCTCCTGTAACATTGTGGTAAAGTCTTCTCTGCTGGTAATGTCTGTCTTCCTTGTTTCGTTGGACTGTATCGTAAAACAAATTTACCCCAGAGGATGACAAAGCTTGGATTAGAGTTAAACTGAGGTCCACTAATGAAGCGGTTGTGTGGAATGTAGTTTGGCCCTCCAGTCAAGATATCACTGTATATATCACGGAGTATGTTATTAGCCGACTGTGACTGGTTGTCACTGGAGGTTGATAGGGATGTGTCGGCCAGAGCATTCTCAGCTTATCATGGAACAGTGCCCCCTGGTGTTTTGACAGCTGTTGTGCACATCTGGCAGGCCCAGCCAGAGCTAACCTTTCTGTGATGAGGCACTGTAGAGCTCGAAATTGTGATTTTTTTTTGTAATTATGGTTCCAAAAACAGGACCCCCACATTGGACAGAGGTGTATGAGCAGGGAGGCTGTGACTGGTTTCAATTATTTGGAATATGGCTGTAACTTAGTCTCTAGTGGTTTGGGAAAATCTCTGAGGTTCTGAACTTCTGTGTCAGGATTAAGTGAGTTCTATGAAACATGAACTGTGATTGTTCCCTTTCATTTAAAAAATTCGGTCTAAGGTCATTAACAAAGAGGCACGTTTAGTTTGAGTTATTCTTAACCCAGCCATTTTATTGTCTCATTTATAGGGCTGACCTCATTTTACTAAATAAGCTCTCTCTCAAATTTCACAACGTTGCCTGGCTTCCAGTTTCGGCTTGACAGCTTTCATATCTGTATGGCTGTCCCTGCTGAAATGGCTCTCTTCCATCTTCCTAGTGTACAGGGTTCCCAGGAATTCTCCAGATGGTAGTGCTTTCCCAGGCTTCGTGACCCCCCTTCTCCGTCCTGCTTGAAACCAGAGCCGCCCACATCTGTTTCCAATGAAGGCCGGGGCCGTCCTTGGGCTGAGCACGGGCCTGTGTCGTCTCGCCTCGTCTCGCAGGGGAACACGGCCAGTGCACACTGGCCCTCGAGGACAAATCAGCCCGCAGGTCTGGAAGCAGGACAGGCAGCTCAAACACACTGCAGGATATTTTGTTATTTGGTCAGCAGATCCTCTAGGTTTGAAGCTGCAGTTTTGAGTTAATTTTCTATGTAGCTGATCTTCTTAAGATTTTGGCTAAAACTAAAATCTAAAAAAAAGAAAGATAAAGCTAAGCTTGTCTTCAGACCTACAGTACACTATGTGTAGAATACTACCAGAATTCAGTCTGTTGAAAAAATGGGAATCCAGACATTTATTATCTGCTACCCTGTCTCCATCTCCCACAGTATGGAGCAATATACAAGACCAGACTAGTGCATTCCAATCTAAAAGTCAAATTTAGATACAGTATGACGAGCAAAATGCACAGGAATGGCCCTAAAGCACCTTACCTTTACTCTCAGTGTGCTGAGAACTCATATGTACAATTTTAAAATCTTGAGATTTGAGAAGAAACAGGTGTTTCTTTTAAATGTTTGTTGGTGAATATGTTGTCGGACAGCTCTAAATTTCTTTTAAAATAAATCATGCTGCCTGAGCTAATGATATCCCCGGGTTTTATTTGCCTTTGAAAGTTAAAGCCATAGAAAGCCACAGATTAGAAGTTACAGGCTATGTAGCAGAGCTTGCAAATGCCTGAAAGAAAGAGGCACCTACATTTGAAGCTGGAGCCACTTTAGTTGAATTCAAATGTTATTTCACTGGGCTGTGTTGCAAGGTTGGTTGGCAATTGATTTTAGTGCTATTTAATGACATCGGGAATTAATAAGCAGTCTATCTTTCTGACAGTATTTTCTATAACAGAATTTGTTTACATCAAAAAGTAAAACCGTTCTATAGGTATCACAGTACTTATGTCCCACTATGAACTGCAGTACTGTACTGCTATTGGTTTGCAGACCAAGGAGCATTAGTGGTGCATGTGATATAAAGGATTCCCAGATGAAGTGATGGACTGGCGTCCCATCCAGGACTACTACTTGGGCTCTGCATTGGAAGACGGACGTCCAGAGGTCCGCCTACCACCCTATGCCCACGGCTTGAGGGCACAGGCCTCCTATCGGCATCCTGACCCTGCTGAGTCCGGAGCTCGGAGCGCCTGGCCTCATCATCCTGTTTTTATTTCCCTGTCCTTGTTCCGGATCCCGTTCTGGTTTTTAACTTTGTCTTGTTTCGTTTTGGATGAATCACTCGGATTTGGACCTTGGACTTCGCCCTGGACTCCTTGGGCTTGTCTGCCTTTGCCACGCCCCCGAACACCAGTTCACCGCCGTCACGCCCCCGTTTGTCAGCCTGCCCAGTTCCTTGTCGTCCTTCTCCACTGACTTCCGGATTTTACTGTCTGCACAGGGTCCTGAACTATGCACCGTCACATAAACCGCTTCTATGAAACAAAGGGGACCTGTAACCTCAGCATATGTAGATGTGCAGATGCGACTTTTTACACTTTTCTAGTACGGATCACCTTCACAGAATCCATGGAACCCCTGACCCACATACGTATTGAGAATCTGTAGTCCAGAAACCCGTCTGGCGCAATTAACCCCAGGAAAACTTCCGAGGCATATCAAAATTAGGTTTTTATTTTTGACTGTTTGCTTTGAGATGAATTTGCATATCATAAAATGAGAAATATACAGAGTTTTGTAAAGCATCTGGGAGTTAATGTTCAGTTTCAGATTCAGTTCTGAACAGACGAGACATTCCCTCACATGTTTGGATCATGGTCTTCATTTGCAACCATTCAAACAACTACTCTTCCACTTTCCCAAAAGCCAGTGTCCCCACCAGTACCCTGTGAACAAGGGAAGAACGGCTGCCCATTAACAGTGACAGATACACATAAGTCCAACACTGCATTGTGAGTGACGCTCACATATTTATTTGCAAAAATAAACCTGACCCCAGCCTGCCATCCTTACCGACAATTATGCCAAGTGAATCCCACGTACAACGATTACAGTACTCGATTACTGTAAACCCTCGCCCAGTAAGAGACGCCTGCAGCTTGGTAACAATTTGAACTTTGCCAAAGTTGAAAAGACGCCGACAAATCTTGTGTGCCTACAAACCAGAAGTGACCCCGCTGTTCGACAGTCTCCTTCTTTTACCCTGTGGATAAATGGTCCACACGCCCTCGGCTCAAATCGCCCTCCCACCCAGCTGTGGTGACTTCATAAAAAAAAAGCATTGGTTTGTCAGCGTGAGCATGCATGTAAAAAACAGGCCGGCTGGGCTGCAGTTCTCTGGCTGAAACTATTCCCTGTAGGGTTTCCCTGTGAGGTACGCCGAGGCTCCTTCATTGTTGTACAGCTCTTCGCGCACAAAAGGAGAACTGAGCGTGCAGATTCGGGTGCGGAGGGGGGGAGTGCTGTCGGCCAATTGCAGACAACATCCTGCTGCTCAAAACCACTCTCAAACAGGGGAGCGCAGGAAGCCGGGCAGCAGTCGCGAAGAGAGGGCAGCCGCGAGAACAGGCGTCTGCGGAAAAAGCGAATGATAAACGCGCCGAGTGCAGCATCTTGAAAACGAGAAATATTGTCTTTGCCTTCGCGCCGTGACAAGAACACGCAGATGGTAAGCGACTCCGCTCAATTCGGTGGTTATGCTCGGCCATACCTCCTCTCTCCCTCCCTCCCTCTCTCCTTTTTTTTTTTGAAGGCTGGGTGATGCGCACGCATTGCTTTGGGATCCAAATGCATTGTATTACAGGTTTTCTCAAAGGTGTACAAAGCGTTCCCTCATGCATTCGCGTTTTGTTCAGAGAATTTCCGGATCCTGATGGCTCAGAAATAAAAAGCCGTCTTAATTAGAACTGTAGCCCCGTTTTGTTTATTTATTTTTTTTACCGTGAAAAGAATGTATTTTCGGGGAGTGGAAGCCGAGCGCAGACGCACTGTACTGTATGTCTGTTCCCTGGCTGAACGCGGTGGGGTCGTGCTGAAATGTTCCGCTGGGGTTGCTGGGGGTGAGGGATTAACCCGGGTGCGAGGTTAATGGGGAGTGTGAGGTGTGCTAATCTGCTCGGTCCTGTGGGAACCAGTGGCGGGCAGTGTGGATACCCGGTGCAGTGTCTGCGCTCCAGCATCACCAGCACGGCCGCCCAGGTGTTTCATCGAGGGGGTACACGGAGGTAGCCTTCAGCGCGTCCGAGAAACCCTGGCTGTGAGGCGGAGAGAGAGCGGTTCGCATAAAATGTCCTCGGTATTTTTCCATTCTTACGTAAACCTTGCACGGCAAATTACTGTGGTTCCCCCTCCAAGAGGGGCTTGAAATCGGGACACACGCAGATTGGAAAGGGGCTGTCAGTGTGGCAGGGTCGTGCGCTCCGCTGTCTGCCAGTTCTACTCTCAAATACGGATTCTGAAAACATGTTTGGTGCTTATTACTTTAAAAATATATATTTCCCCACATATGCAATGATAACGCTTTCTCTGTTAAAGTTTATATAACTTGTTCATCAGAGCGTATTCAAACGGTTCGTGACTAATCGGATTGGTGCCTCACCTGCATTCCCTTTCAAAACGCTACTCCTGTCGTGTGCGCATCAGCACAGGCATCCTACCAGTGTGAAAGCTCCTGTGTAATAACGTAAACTTATCTTTTTCTCTGCATGCCTGACATGGTTTCAACTCCAGAGCCAGTTTTGCGTGAGTGGTTGTGGTTTGTCGGCGCTTGAAACGAGCTGTCACTTCCGTGTGGCGGCTTAAAACAAGCGACAGCACTTCTAACAACACAGTAGGCTGTCTTCAGTCTTGATTTGGTGGTGCAAAATAAAGGGTTAAGAGGAAAATCGTTGAAATGGAAAATCTGCTTCTACTTACCAGTGTTCATGCTCCTAAAAGGACTTTAGATCTGTTTCTAATTTTTTTTTAGCCCCTGGCTTTTTTTTTTTCTTAAAGCGAGGCTGGTTTCTTTGAAAGTTAAACATGAAATAAGTTTAAACGACAGTTCTGGTTAACCTTGTCTTTTTAACAGATACGAAACTTTAAATGCACTTTACAGCAGTTCAGGGCCTTCTCTGTACAACCATATCAGCCTTCTGAGCTCTGTGTTTTAGACGTTTAACAGATATGTCAATATTTATGGTAATAATAATTGCTTACACTTATATATACAGCTTTTCTGGACACTCCACTCAAAGCGCTTTACAGGTGATGGGGGATCCCCTCCACCACCACCAATGTGCAGCCCCACCTGGATGATGCACAGGGGTGTTGTGGTTTCTGAGGAGCTGACCTCTGAACGTGGTCTGTTCTGAATTGTTTCAGATGTATACAGTCCGAGAAACTGTGCAGCAGGAATTAGAAGAGGGAATGGCTCCGCTGTGCACATGTTAGAAGCAGCTTGGAATGGTGCTGATATCTGCTTATCTCATCAGATATTCCACAAAAATGTGGGTTGTGTCTTGGCATGATTCAGCTTGTCTCGACTCAGAAGGTCTCTACACAAATTTTAAACCAAAAAAAAACAAAAGAAGGCTAGGGTAAAGTCCTTCGCAAACTTGCAGTAAGTGGCTTATAGATCTTGAGATTATCCCAGATTTTAGGGCATTAAACAGAGTAAGAATACAGCACCTCCACAATCCCCCAAGTGGAACAGTTATACACTGCAGGTTCACCCAGGAAACAGATGGTCAAGGTGAGATTTTTTTTACAAACATTTGGTACATGACTGTGATTTCTGCACTGGACAAAGGATAAAACAGCCTTATACCCCTAACTACCAGCCGTCCACCCTAAAAACTACTTTTTTATGCATTTGCATTTTAGAAATTCCTGTTGGGCACTTTGGTTTAAGCAAAAACCTAAACATGGCTCTCTTGCTGCCGTGTCCCTGCCTGTCTCAGTTTGGCTTTATAATTGCATGGACCTTGAAGCCCCGATTGTCTTCAACAAGCTTGCGATGCAATGAGTCAGGCAGGCTTTTGGTTGAAAGAGCTCTGCACTTGCAGTACACGCCAGATCTGTGAGCCTTGCGGATGTGGCGCCCGGCGATGCAAGGCTTCAGAAATCCCACTGCACAGGAAGCCAGGACTGGTGCCGAGACTAATGCAGGATTTATACTTTTTCAGCGAGACTATCAGCGGCTTTGGGGGTGATAATTACAGCTTTAATTTGTTTTTGTGTCCCTATAAAGTACCTTTGAACTCATGTGTTTTATTAGTTTAAAACACAAAAGCCAGTAACAACAAAGCAGATGAGTTGCTTTCAAACTTATCTTGATCTGTGGGTTTAATCTTATTTGCATTTCAAACCTGGTGCTCATACATGAAACCGGTTACTCATTCCTAAACCCATATGTGCTCTTTCACAGGGCTGAGTTAACTTTCTGCACTTTCCTTAGGTTGCTGCCAGTGTAATTGTTTTTGTCTGTATGCTTATGTCAATATTTTCACAGCTGATCAGGAGGTATCCTGACAAGAAGAAGCAGAGATCAGTCTTTGAGAAGAATATATTCTTTGTGATCTCTAGGATTGAACCCTAAACTCAGAGGATAATGAGTGACTTCTCATTTTTATTGTTTATAGGGAGTAATTCAATTTTCTAACTGCTTAATCCAATTCTGGGGGTGCTGGGGAGCTGGAGCTTATCTCACCATGCAGTGGGTGCAACACCAGTCCAACACATGGGACACACACAAACACACTCACACCAGGGCCAGTTTTCCCTGAAGCCATTTAACCTGCCAGCATGTCTTTGGACTGTGGGAGGAAACAGGAGCTCTCAGAAGAGCCTCACATGAACAGGGGAAACATGTGGACTCCACACAGACTCCCAGGTATTGAACTGAACCCAGGGCCCCAGAGCTGTGAGGCAGCAGTGCTGACCACTATATCACCAAGTACATGGAAAATCAAAGCCAGTAAGTGCTCTTTCCAGAGCTCCGAAAGGCATGCAGGTGTTTTGCAGTGGGCTGTGAAATATTTCATATGATCTATTTGCTGAAATAGTTCACCAGCAATGGCAGCAAAGAACAGCAAAGTATGGTACAACCAGAGACCCACAGCTCATAAGCAATGAATTGACTAGAGCAGGGCTGTTGATACTAAACCACCAGTGTTTTGTTTACAAGATAAAAGCAGTACTTTAGAGAGAATAAAAAGCAGCAACCACTTCATGCAGTTTCTTGAAAATATCCATCTCAGGTTATTCAGAGCCTAGAAGCCACTGGGCAATTGGACAAAAAACACCTTATCCCATATTCTGCACCTCTTCTGTGTTTCACATCAGGATTTTAACTTCTAGGGATTACATGGTTATATGATTTTGCACTTCCTTGAATTTAAAGAAGGGCCACACAGTAGCTTAACATCTGCAAATCAATACAGTGGTCAAGGAAAGTAGCCCTAAGTGCTGTTGTGTAATCATTCAGGAGTTCTTGCACAACCAGCTTTGGAGTACTATATCTGTAGAAATCCATAGCTCGGGGCAAGCGTGGCTCTGCTTATGCTTTTGAAGAGAGTAGGTGCTGTCATGTACGGTAAAGTAGACAGCAGAGGACACCAAGGAGCTCTTCCCTCTGGAATGCAGGTAGATTTCTCTGCAGTCTCACAGCTCTGCTCAGCCCTGATTTCTGCATAGCAGAAGTGCTGCTTTACTGAACCAGAGGCCTTTCTGCTGGACTGGTGTATTCTTGCGTAAGGATGCAGTTCAAGTTCTGTACAGAAAGATCCATAAAGATCAGTCACCTTAGTGCCAGGTCTCATGTCCACTTCATTCCTTTACTCAGGACTAAGTACAGTGAAGTGACATCACAATTTGAAAGGGTACAGCATCCCAGATTTCATTTTTTGGCCAGAGGAGAAAGGTGTATTTTATTTAGTTTTATTAAATAATTAGATTACAGTAAGTAAAGATCTTGAATGGTTGGAAAACTTAGAAGGCATTGAATTTATCCAAGAACCAAGATTGATGCTCCTAGTATAAACCCTTGCACAGCCTTCAGAGAAAGAAAAGACAAACTTGGTTTATTGTGTAAAATTTATATCTGGATCTATAATCAGACTGTGATGGGGTCTATGTCATTTTTTACTTCTTTCATATGCCCATGAGATGAAAGTACTACAGCACGTGTACTTTCATAGTATGTGTACAACACTCCTTAGGTATAGTTATAATCACCACAGGAAAATGGAGTTCAACCTGTGATTTCTGGGAAGTTAACATTCAAAACAATTCCTGGCTTAATGTTTCTTTAGTTTCCTGATGGATAAATTGCCAAACAAATTTTATTTGCATGAGTTTGAATTACAGCTTAGCAGGCTGAATCATTTCACGTCTCAGCACGCAAGGCAAAGGCTAATTGTGTTTATCTTCTGTGTGGAGTTTAATGAAAACTTACACACAATTATGTGTATGTACAGCCGCCATGTTTGTATTGTAGCACAGCGTGCAGTTGTGGGTGATCATGTCGGAGAGAGGACAAGGTGTGTCCCATCGTTCCGTTTTAACACAAGCCTGCATGCTGCCTTGTGGTACATCATTACCAGTCCCTTATCTATTTTTATTGCTTTTGTGCTTCATTGATAGAACCTGCAGGAATGCAAGTTTTACCTTTAAAAAATGTTTTAAGCT